TTCATATTTTTTTTAAAAAAGCAGTTAATTTCTTGGAGTGCTCCAAGTAGACCTACTTTTAAAAGAAGGAGGTCTGATTCCTAAAGAGCGGGTATTCAGTATTCATTCTTTCTTGCTCCAAATCCAGCCCTTAGAGTGGGGCATGGGTTAATTCAAAATCATTAGTGCCTACGGAAAGTCTTGACCACAGCCATTCCTGCTCGCTTTGAAGTTTGCCTTTAACTGTCAGTTTCTTGTGCTCCCCAAAGTATTTGGGCTTTTAGCTTTTTGTCTGCTGTTCCATGCCTTTCTTTGATCACTATTTGTTCAGCTCCTGAAAGCAGGAAATAATGAACCCATTTTATTAAAACACTTTCTTCGTATTTGGGAGGGATAAATGAAGGACTTTCCTGCATGAATTTTTCTAGCTTGGCTGTTACAAGACATAATGTGCGATGCAGATGCATCAGGAAGGAAATTGTGGGGAAACTCACGTCAGGCTTAGGAGCTCCATGTCTTCATGCCAATTATGTGTGACCTACAAGCGTAAGACAAGGTGTGGGTCACCAAAATGGGTGACTGACAAAGTCTGGAAGATGTGTGTTTGTGGAGAAGGAGAAATAAGACTTGGGCGAGGAAACCTAACACGCTCTGCATGTCTTGGCTCTGCATCCCCTATATATTTCTGCAAGGGAGCATCAAGGAGAAAGAGATGAGGGTTTAAAGGAGACCTGCTCCCATGTAAATATTGTGTTGTTTCCAAGCGCCCGAAGTGAAGCCAGTTGCTTTGCAACTCCCCTGGGGTGGCTGGAGTCATTGAAGCCAAAGATAACTTCTTACCTTTTACTTCTCTTTGTGGCCTTACGTGCTGCAGGTGCACACAGCTGAGATCTGCAGCAAGATCTGAAAGCTCTTTGAGTATCTAAGGCTTGGGCACCTCAAACAGCTTTTCTTAGCAGAACTTGACAAAACGAATTAATCTTGGACACTCAAGTGGCGTAAGGCACCACACGCCACCAGCCCATTTTAAGTCACATTGAAGTTAATGAAAAGACTCCCACAGACTTCAGTGGGCGACACATCAAACTGTGCAGCACGGCAAAGCTGAAGTCTCAGCCACGTGCTTCCTGTCCTTGGTTTTCAAACATCTCTATTGTGCTGTCCCTGCTGAACAATTAAAAATGCCTTCTCACTGGCTGGGAAACTGAAGAAAAATTAGATCTGAAAACAAAGCCACAATGTAAATTGTGGCACGGACGCGCTGAAGGGGAAATCAAAGCTGTGTTCATCACCTGGGCAGTCAGAGACAGGTGGAAATAATATTATTTTGCACGTCTCAACCAAGAAGTTCTAGGAATAAGAAAATCTTGCCGGCTAATTAGGCTCAAATGGATGTACATGGGTCTGTGCAGAGACAGAACTAAGTAGAAGTGCTATTTTCTTATTAGGATCGGTACTGAAGTTAGAAACTATTTGGAATTAAACTGCTTTAGAGGGAAATAAGGTGGGTTTTCTTTTTTAGTGGGGGGAAAAATATTTTTTCCTGTAGAGCTATTTGGAGGGAAAAAGGTAGCTCGTGTTGTGGATCCTCACAGCTTATTACCAATGAAATGTAAATTTGTAGCCACAGGGCTAGTTAGGCATCTCTATGGAAACGTGCAGCTATGGGGTTTGTGCTCTGGTTGTTTTCAGAGTTTTTCTTCATATAGACAAGAAGCATATAGAAGGAGTCAGACTTTAGTATCCAATTCCAGGCTGTGTTTGGGGAAAGGTGAGGGGAAGAGCAAAAACCCAGCACACATCTCTCAGTAAATCACTCTGGGGTGAGACCCTCACAAGAGGTTGTTTTTCAGAGCAAAACTCCTTCTGAAATACAAGGCTTGAGGCTTGTTATGGGTAGGCACAAAAGCACTTCAATTCCTTCCTGCAGATGGACTCAGAATTGTGATCAAGAGGTTTGGGGTTTTTTTTGTTAAAACTGTAATTTCAAGAAAAGTAAAGCTTTCTAAGCACAGACATACCTTGGTGCTGATGCTCCAGTTAGAAGCAGGACACTGGACTCCACAAGCAGATTCCTCTGTACTTTCATGACCTCTTCTTCCATCATGTGCTTCTCTGGCACTAATTCATTATTTTTATATGATGGTGACGAGTGACAGTCCTGTCTGAGGCCACCCGGCTGCAGGGAGGCTGCACCCTGGGTGACAGGGGTTCTTCTGTTACCCTGCTGATTTTGCTTGTTTGCTTGCTTTTCCAATGCCGGGTTAGAGTGATACCTGCAACAGCCTGTCAGAACAGACCCGAAAAGTGTCCTGAATGCTTTATATATATAATGTGAATAAACAACTGCAGAGCAGCGGTGGGGTTGTTTGTTTGCTTGTTCTTTTGTTTTTCTTTTTTTTTCCCCAGCAATCTTCCAACTGACAGATTTCTGCATGTAATTGAGGGCTGCCTATTCAGTACAGTTAATCCTTTTTTTGGTCACTTCTAGTTACCTGTTGATTCTGCTAAGGGTTTTTTTTTATTCTTTTAACTAAGATTCAGGAAAAGATGAGATCCTTTTTTTTTTTTTTCCTCTGCATATGTGTGTGTCTTTTACATTGGCTTTAAAAAGTATGGTTGTTGTAAGCATATTTAATGGCTCTTCTCAAAGAGCTCTAGCAGGTTAGAAAGCAGATCCAATACACTTATGTTATTAACAGCTGCAGAAGCAAGCACAGGAGAAATGACAGCGAAAAGGAAATTACTTTCCTAGTTACCAAAGAGCGGAGGTGAAAGCTGGGATTTATAGAAATCCAGGGAAAAATTCACTCTCTCTTTATGCAAAAGGATTTAAGCTCTGCTTCTGCTCCTAACCCTCTGAAGGACACACTCTCGAGACAACCTTTCATAGGAACGTGATAGACTATTTGCTTCACCACATTACAGAAATGGCTTTTTTGGTCAACGCTGCGTTTTGCAAAGTCCCGAGGAGGAGCTGTGATGCAGACAGGTTGTCATGTGCTGCGTGAGCTAATATTAATGCCTGCTGTGACAGCCTTGCTACTCGGGGGTTTTTTTGCTGCTCCTTGTGTAACATCTGTCTGACGGAGCGGTATCAGCCTGTCATTGGCTTCTGCTGCACCCTGTTTTCTGTCTGAGAAACAGTAATGAGAGCAACCAAGGCGTTTTTTTCTTTTTCCTTTGAATTTTTTGAATGAGGCCCGCTGTGTTTTCGCAAATTGCATCTTCATTCTAAGTATTTAAGCGCCATAACTTTTCATATCAGACAACTTGGCATCGGCTTTGAAAAGAAACATGTTCTTCTAAAGCAGAAAACTAGATTAGAAAATTGCTTTTGCAGATAGAAACGCAGTCCTGTGGGCTCGTCTGATGCTTGGCAACGATGCGGGACAGCTTTCGGCACGGCAGAGCGCTCGGCTGCCTCCGCCAGACGCGCCAGCCCCGGCTGCTGCGCTCTCTCAGCCGGGGACAGCGGGTTCATCTTTCCGTCAACGAGCTGGCACGTATCTCCAGGAGACGCTCCACCGTAACAGGGCAAAGTGCCCTACAGGAGTTCCGTTTGGAAAGGTCACCCTATATTAATCATTGTGTCCCTTTTAAAAAGTAGCATGAAAGAGAAGTGGAGTTTAAGTTTTTTGGGTGGTTTTTTTTTTTTTGAGTGCATGCAGCACATAAACCATCCAACCAACTATAAAACAAATGCTAGAATTAATGGCTTAATTCTCTTTGCGTTAGGATAAAGCATATGGTTTTAAAATGTCTTCAGTAAAGAACTGCTGAATATGGGAAACATCTACTATTGCCCTGTACTAAATTGAAAAGCAAGTTCAAGTGTGAAGATTGGTGGGGTGATAGCCAAAGGCAAGCTGTCCTGCAGCTTATTTTGTGAGACAATCTAGTTTTAATGTTTGTGCGTACAAGTTTGACCCAGTAAGCACATTAAATAATTACCATTTCTGGAAACTCAGGTCTTTTTTCAGACCAGCTTCTTTTTAGTTCTTCAACTATGGAAGAGAATCCAGAGCGCTGCTTCTTCCCCACCAGCTCACATGCGAGTGCCAGTTTAACTGTACCAAGGAATGACAGAGTGCAAGCTGAGGGATAATCCTCTCTTCCACCCCGTTTTCCTACAAGGCTGCTGTAATGATGATCTGTCCTACATTTCCATACGGGCTACTGCTGCCTTTGAACAGAATCCTGATGGTGCACAGAGGCAGGAATTGGCCTCCTTTGTTTTCAGGTAAGGTGGGTGTGTGGCTGGCTGTGCTCACACCCCACTTCCCCCCCCAAAATGATGCATTTTTTAGATGTCAGAGAACAGTGTGAAACGTGGTCCAGCTTTCAAGCCAACAGTGCTATGGGAAGGTGAGGCCCTTTGGCAGGGTCAGTGCCTGTCTCAGCATGGGTAACCTTCACAACCTCCACAACTACAGCTGATCTTCCAGTGCTTTGTTCCACCGTAGCCCAAGAGCACTCTGGGTTTGGCCAGGCAGTACCACGCCACACACGCAGCACAACATGAAGCCAATGAGATGAGTAACAGGCGGAAAGTCTGTATCTGTACCAGCTACAGCGCGGTGCAGGTGCTTGGCAAGATCAAGACTTTGATCCTGTTCACACCAGCATGCGTAAATTCTCACATCCAGTGCCTTCCCTGGGAACATTCAGACGTGTTTTACCTAAATGAAGGGCACTGCACCATCTGATACACTGTTTTTTATAAGACAGCAGCGCCAGTGTTTTGTAAGAACTGGGGTAGAGATCACAAGTTGATTTTAACTGCAGTGGAAAGTGCACTCTGCTGGCTCCAGAAGCTTTCAGGAATAACATGTAATTCTTAGCAAATTTACCCAGTTCCCTGTCACTGGAACCCTGAGTTTCAGTCCCTGATTCTAATTCCCTTACCTGCCCAGAGTGAAACACTGAACTGGTTACTTAACGGTAACTCAAAGTAACAGCACAAGCAAATGGCAAAACCCAAGAATATGCTTAACTCTATCCAGGAACTGTAAAAAGGCTGCAGGGAAAGGCTGCCTTTATTTAAAATTTTTTATGAAATATAATTATTTTTCTACATGAACAAACATTTACTTTTGTTGGCAGAAACATGTAAAAGTTCATAAAATACCTTCAAATACAGATTTAAAAAGAAGCATCCAAACTTTTAATTTAATCTCCAAATCTTGGTTGAGTGGACTTCGTTTTTTCTTTATTTCCTTGAAAGAGGTTAGTGGCTTGGGGCAGTATTTTCTCCAGAAGGTAAACATCTCTCAACGGTTGCACTACAGGTGGTTTTCATTCTTTACTGCCTGAAGTCCAGTTTCAAGTCTAGAATTAGAGAGACGTTCCACATGACTTGCAGCACAGTACTTTTTTCATCTCATTTCTCCAGGGGTGCATAATTCAAAAGCTTCTCAATCAGATCCACGTGAGCCAGGAGCATTCTGCGGCAGCAGTATCTCTTCAAACCAAGGGCATCCAGGGCATCTCTATTAATGAACAAGAACAACAATAAAAAAAATAATGGATGAAGTGAGTCAGAACCACTTGTGTTCCTAAGCAACATACTGATTACTTTGAGCTTAGTCATAGAGGAAAACTTGTTTGCAGTTAAAACTAAGAAACTGAAATTCAGCACGTGCTGTTAATGTTCTTTTCCATTTACTGCTGTTGACAGGGTGTTTGCCTGTTCTCTGGCCAGCAGGAGCACATGATCTTCTGTTGAAGCTGGTGTCCAGCTGACAGAACCACCGGACTTTCAGAGGTAAGTCTGCAGAACTCCCACAGGAACAGAACCGTAACAGACCAACTCTTACGAATTTCCTCTTCTGAACTACCTGACTCATGAGGGCGTATTTGGTCAATACGCAAGGTTAGGTGAGATGCACGTATTTTGGTTTTGGAAATAAAATTTTGGTCATCACAACTGGGAAGAGGCTTGAAATATGGTATATTTCTAACCTCAATTATTTAGTTACAGTAACTCAGTCTTCGTTTTACAAATACCAGTCTGCAGAGAAGAGAGGAGCTGATCTGGTTATAAAAATCTGATCAATCAAGAGCTGCAAATGTAGTAAGAGGAACACAGTTTGGAAACATAGGAAGCCACTTCCACTCCTCCTAAAATCCTGGACAGTCCATAATTACCTGTGCTGGCTACAGCTCCTGCTAATTGTATGCTAGAAGGTAGCACAAAGGCACCAGACCACCTCCCGACACAAGAATAAGGAACAGCATCCCCAAGCATTGTTATCCAGGCTATTGTGAGCATCTCTAAGCACCATTCTAGTGTTTCTGTAAACTGAGGATGACACTTGCCTACTTCACAAACTGAGAGGTATATAGAAACTAAAATAACTCAAAATGCGAACTACCCCACATATGGATGGGATGCTAATTATAAGGCAGGCTAAAAATCCCTTCCAGTTCCCATATAAGGTGGCATTCAGTTATACAACCTGTTCCCTACAAATAAGGATGTGCAGACTAACCAACAAGAAATCTGTGTTTTACAGTCTTTCCACTTAATTCCTCTTGAGTGACTGCTTGAGATTCTGATGGCTGGGTAGAAAATGTATGAATCATCCTTTCCTAAACCACTGCATGTGTCTTCAATGGCTATCTTTATCAGACCTCTTGAAGATAAGTGACACTATCCAAGCTCTTTAGCGCCGACCTATTAACCATAAAGCCAGTCTGATACTCTTTCAGAATTTGACATTCATGAAATATGACTGATCTCAGGTCTTTAGATCTATATGATGGGGTGCAACAATCCAGCATTTGCTTACAACAAATGTATTTTCCTGAAACCTGCAATTCTCCTGTGGGAAGAAGCAGATAGATACTTTAAAAAGTACAAATGACTGAAAGGAAGCCTCTGCATAAGCTGGACCATGGTAAAAGGTTGTTTGGCTTTGCGCAGTACAGTCTAACTGTATGGAGTCAAACTCCAGCAGCTTCTCTGGTGATGTCAATTAGTCCTTGTACCTATCAACTGTTCTTCAAGGACTTAAATAGCAGGGCTATTCATTTTAGGACTAGCACTTGCAAAAGTCATTTAAGGGAAAGATATGAACAGTGTATCTTTTAAAAAGAATGTTTATAAATAATATAACATGACATCTAAACTTTCCAAAACACTTGAGAACAAAAGCATTTGAGGTCTGTTGATATGTAAGTTTTTAGAGCTATCTGGAAAGTTCTGAACTTTCAAGTGCATATATCAGAGATGCAAAATACTGACATTAATCATAACTTTAGAATTCATACTATACATTTCAGCTAAACTTCAGTTTTATTTCCTTTTTTATCTAGCTTCCAAGAATTTGTGAAAAAAAGAGCAATTTTAAGGGACAAATAGAAAGCTGGGGGTCTTTTTTTAACCACAAATTGTTTAGATAAATTAATTTCTTCCATCTCGTCTACCCCTTTCTTAAGCCACCATTACTAGTGATTGTGACACTGCAATGTAAAATTTTAAGTGTATGACATTTGTAAATTCTGCTTCTGATCATACAATACCATAAATGCATTGGTTTGAACAGCCATCCAAGAATCACACCAGTGACCACAGCAATCATTTTCAAGCGAGCATTTACCAATGACAATGTACATCTTCCCATCCCATACAAAAGTAGAGGAATAATGAAGACAAGAAAAATATTAAAATGTAATACTTGGTAAATAAATCAGAAGTGCTACCAGATTAGCTCTGATAAACTTCAGTGAGAAATTATTAGCAACTTGTACAATTTAATGTTTTTAACTCTGTAGATGAAATAAATGCCTTTTTTTTTTTTTTTTTTCTTGGTAGGAACTTTCCAAAAACCTTTAGTTTAGCAGCTGCAATATTCTACTTAGCTAGGTTTGACAGGTTTTGGGATGTAAATGCACTCTAAAAAGGCCACTCTCAGAAGTAATGAGATTCAGGGAAAGCACTGAATGATTTTCACTGGACAATTTCTAATGAAAGCGATAAATGGTGGGGGGACAGGACATCTTTTCCCTGCAAACTCCACATCAAGCATTGAGCAGCACAGACAATAATCACAGCTTCCTACAAGTTCAGAGGAAGCTCCAAAACCAAAACTTTCCTTCCTTCCCTGTTTGTTCTGTGCTCCACTGTTTAACATTTGACAAAACAGCATCCTAAACCACGTTTTCAGATTTACTTTAGAGAAAAGGCAGTGAAATCTGTATTGTTAATATACATTCTTCTAATAGTTCATAGATGTAAGTCCATTAAAAAGCCTATTAGTAACCCTAACTATTGCAATACAAAGCAAATATTCTTTTCTTTCTACTTAACAGTTTCAACATCACTTCAGGACATCTCCAAAACTTTTGACATTTTTTTTCCACTCCTTTGAATTGCAAAAATCCATGTTGTTCTTTTTTTTTTCCTTCATACTTGATGAAAATGTAAATATTTCTCAAGAGTTACCTTCTCAAACCTTTCTGAAGCAGTTCCACCACAGCCAGACCCTCCTTGAACTATTAAAAGACAATTCTGTCTATGCAAAGCATGGATAGACTTCTTAAAATAGAATTGTTAGGACCGTCAGTCAGGTATCCAGAGCAGTTAAACCTCCCCTTCCCCCTAGCAAACCAGTGCTTGCAAATAAGGTTAGCAATTCTGGGAACATGAAATACTTTTAAGAAAACCTAGAAGAGGTATACATTCTTAACAATATTAGTTAGTTCTAACATTTGTAAGGTCTTCTTTCTCTCTCCTTTAAAAGACCCAAACACTGGTGTCAAAGTTGACTGTACAGCTTGTTTCTTTCCTTCCAGTTCCACACAGAGTTAAACATTAGAGACTGTTTTGGGAGTAAAGGTTGTGACTTGGCAACTTCCATACTACTATCCAGAAAGATTCAGCAGGGAAGCATGTGCTTTCTTACCTATTATAATTTCTAACCTCTGGTTAAACAGCCTCAGAACATATCTGTAGTTTTTAGCCTCTTTACAGCTACTTTGTAACACTATGATCCTGCACTTATATACCTTATGCACTGTGCAAACCCATCAAAGAACATAAAGAAATAATACCCACCCTTCTGTGTATTCTGCTTGCAGAAGGCCAAGATAGGCTTCCCACTTGTTTCCAACTATTTTGCCGCACGTGAAACATCTGACTGGGATGATCATTTTTGCACCGTAGCTGTAACATTAAAAAAAATACAGTATCACCCCCCTGCAAAATAACTAAATACCATCTTCAAATATAAGAAAGGAAATTCAGAACTTGTACAAGTCTCAAACGGCAGCTCAACAGGCTAGGTGGCAGTAAGCAAGACAAGAGGCCGTAATTCACCGTTACGGAGCTGCTGAATTACAGCGGCGCCACAGATCTCTCCTCACCGCCGTGGGCAAGGCGGTCCCGAAGAGGGCAGGGGGCAGCGGCGCTGGGCCGGGGGCTGAAGACCCAACACCTTCTGCCCGAGCCTGGGAGCGCGTTATCCCTGCCCCGCACTCGGCAGAAACACCCCAAGAGGCGGTCATAGGGCTGGGGGAGCCCGAGGCCTTGCTCGCCGGGCCAGGCCTCCCCGGAGGAGATCGGCCCCAGTCCGCCCGCGAAACCCCACGCTGAGGAGGCGCCCAGCCCCACCGGGGCACTGAGGGGAACCGCAGCCCCACGAGGCGACTCCTACCGCGGCGAGGAGCCCCCCAGCCCCGCCGCAGCACTGAGGGGACCGCAGACCCCGCCAGGCGACTCCTACCGTCACGGCTCCGCCGCGCTCCCCTAACGGCTGGGAGGGCGCTACCAGCGCGGCGGGGCGGGGGGAAGGCGGCCCGGCACCCCCCCGTTTCCGCGCAGGGCGGCGGGGTGGTAGCGGCCGAGCCTACGGCGTCCCGGCCGGCCCAAGAGAGCGCGCGCGCGGGGCGGGCTCGCTTTCGCCTTTCGCGTGTGGCGCGCTGAGTGGCAGCCGGGGCGCCGGGAGCGCG